CCTCCAGCTAGCAGCCTTCTCCAGTCCTTGCTGTTCTTTATGATGAGGCCCCTGGCTTCCACCTCTGCTCCATCAGGCCAGAATGAAGACATTAACCTTTGCAGTTAACTTCCAAGAATGATGTGTGTGTTTCTTGCTTTATGCTGTAGGTGAAATATGAGTAAATGGAGTTTGGGGTAATCATTTTTCCCCTCTGATTTTGTGATTGCATTATAATTCCAGAACTCTTTTTCCTTTATGTGAGATATTGGAAAGCCCTTAAAAGTCATTTAGTCCAAGAGTTCTTAACCTGGATTCTGTGAATCTCTGAGGTCTGGGAACACACTGAAATTACAGGAAGAATGTGTGTATATACATTTTTGAATCTGTGAAGGAGATAGATTTTTCAAGCCAGCTTATTTTTAACTGAGATACAATTAAGGTCTTAAAATATACAGATTAAATATCCAATTTATTAGGTTTCCACAAATATATAACTTGAGCATCCATCATCTAAAACAAGACCTATAACATTTTCATCACACCCAAGGGGCACCCCTTGTGTCACTTTCTAGTCAATCCTCCCCTGCCCCCATACACCAGCAACCACTTTCTGACTTCTATTTAATATTACCATAGTTTATTCTTTCTTGTTTTAGAATTTCATATGAATGAAATCGTACAGATTTTGCTTTTTGGTCTTGCATCTTTTGCTCAACATTTTTTTTAAAGACTTACATTTTTTACATCAGTTTTAGATTCACAGCAAAATTAAGAGGGAAGCACAGAGATTTCCCACATGCCTCCTTCCCCCAGACACGCATAGCTTCCCCTGTTATAAACATCCAGCACCAGAATGGTACATTTGCGATAATTAATGAACCTACGTTGACACATCCTTATCATTCAAAGCCAATAGTTTACATTAGGGTTCACTCTTAGTGTTGTACGTTCTAAGGTTTGGACAAATATATAATGACATATATTCACCATTATAGTATCATACAAAGTAGTGAAACTACTGTACACTGCGTGTTCATCCCTCCCTCCCTGTAAATCTTAGCAACCACTCATCTTTTTACTCTCTTCAGAGTTTTGCCTTTTCCGGAGTGTCATATAGCTAGAATCACACAGTATGTAGCCTTCCCAGTTTGGCTTCTTTCACTCAGTAATAGACATTGAAGTTTCTTCTATGTCTTTTTATGGCTTGAGTGGCTCATTTCTTTTTAGTGCTGAATAATATTCTGTTGTTTGGGTGTACTGAATTTGTCTATTTACCTGATGTCCTTCAACATCTTTCTTGTTTCCAAGTTTTGGCAATAAAGTTGCCGTAAACATCCACATGTAGGTTTTTGTGGGGACATAATTCCCTTAGGTAAATACTAAGGAGTGTGATAGCTGGATCATATGGTAGGAGTATGTTACATTGTGCAAGAAACCACCAAACTGCCTTCCCAAGTGGCTGTAGCATTTTGCATTCCCATCAGCAAGAAATGAGATTACTGCTGCTCCATATCCTTGCCAGCATTTGGTGTTGTCAGTGTTCCAGATTTTGGCCATTCTAGTAGGTGTGTAGGGGTATCTCATTGTTTTTTTTTCTTTTATTTATTTATTTTGTGAGACAGAGTCAAGACTCTGTCCCCAAGCTGGAGTGCAGTGATGTGATCTCAGCTCACTGTAACCTCTACCTCCTGGGTTCAAGCAATTCTCCTGCCTCAGCCTCCCGAATAGCTGGGACTACAGACATGCACCACTATGCCCAGCTAATTTTTATATTTTTAGTAGAGACAGGGTTTCACCATGTTGGCCAGGATGGTCTTGATCTCTCGACCTTGTGATCCACCTGCCTTGGCCTCCCAAAGTGCTGGGATTACAGGTGTGAGTCACCACGCCTGGCCCTTATTGTTTTAATTTACATTTTTCTGACCAAATATGATGTGGAACATCTTTTCAGGTGCTTATTTGCCATGTTTATATTTTCTTTTGTGACATGTCTGTTAAAGCCTTTGGTCCATTTTAAAATCAGGTCATTTATTTACTTATTGTTGCATTTTAAGAGTTATTTGCATATTTTGGATAACATTCCTTTATCAGATGTGTCTTTTGCAAATATTTTCTCTCAGTCTATAGCTTGTCTTCTAATTCTGTTGACAGTTTTGTTTGAAGAGTAGGAGTTATTAATTTTAATGAAACTTATTAAGGATGTATTTCATGGATTGTAGCTTTGGTGTTATATCTAAAAAGTCATCATCATAACCTAAGTTCATTTGGTTTTCTCTTATGTTATTTTCTAGGAGTTTCATGGTTTTGCATTTTCCAGTTAGGACTATGATCAATTTTGAGGGAATTGTTGTTAAGGCTGTAAGGTCTGAGTACAGATTCTTCTTTTTCTTCTTCTTCCTCCTCCTCTTCTCCTCCTCCTCCTTCTTCTCCTTCCTTTTTCTTCTTTCTTCTTCTCCTCCTTCTTCTTCTTCCTCCTTCCCCTTCCTCCTCCTCCTCCCCCTTCTTCTTATTCTTTCTTCCTGTTTTTTGCATAAAGAAGTTCAGTTGTTCCAGGATAATTTGTTGAAAAATCTTTGTTTCATTGCATTGCCTTTGCTACTTTGGAAAAGAACAAATTGACGATATTATGTGGGTCTGTTCACTGTATCTATGTTGTCTCTGTATTCTAATACATTGATCTATTTATCTATTATTTTGTCAACACCACATTGTCTTGATTACTGTAGCTTTATAGTAAGTCTCGAAGTTGGGTAGTGTCAGTCTTATGACTTTGTTCAATATTATGTTTGCTATTGTATTTTTGTTTTTTGTCTTTCTGTAGAAACTTTAGAGTCAGTTTGTCAATATCCACAAAATAACTTGCGGGAATTTTGATTTGAATTGCATTGAATGGATAGATCAATTTGGGAAGAACTGACATCTTTATGATATTCAGTCTTCCTATCCATGAACATAAAATATCTCTCCATTTATTTAGTCCTCCTTTGATCTTGTTCATCAGAGTTTTGTGGTTTTACATACGTAGATCTTATACATATTTTGTTAGATTTATACCTATTTCATTTTTAAGTGCTAATGTAAGTGGTATTGTGCTTTCAATTTCAAATATCACTTATCCACTGTTGGTATATAGGAAACCAATTTACTTTTGCTTATTAACCTTGTAGCCTGAAACTTTATACTATACTCACTTCTTAGTTCTGAGACATTTTTCTGTTGTTGGTTAAAAAAAACCTCAGCTTACTCTCCCTTTCCCACCGTGCTGGCCTGCTCGAGCTAAGGTGAGTGCTCTGCCTTCGGGCCATCTGCACTGCAATTGGTTGGTGTCTTGGATGGATTTGAAACTTGGCAACCAATGACCTTCTTCACAGAACTGGAAAAAAAATACCTTAAACTTCACATGGAACAAAAAGAGAGCCCACATAGCCAAGTCAATTCTAAGCAGAAAGAACAAAGCTGGAGGCATCACACTACCTGACTTCAAACTATACTACAAGGCTACAGAATCAAAACAGCATGGTATTGGTACCAAAACAGAGATATAGACCAATGGACAAAACAGAGGCCTCAGAGGCAACACAGCATATCTACAACCATCCGATCTTTGACAAACCTGACAAAAACAAGCAATGTGGAAAGGATTCCCTGTTTAATAAATGGTGTTGGGAAAACTGGCCAGCTATGTGCAGAAAGCAGAAACTGGACCCCTTCCTGACACCTTACATTAAAATTAACTCCAGATGGATTAAAGATGTAAACATAAGATCTAATACCATAAAAACCCTAGAAGAAATTCTAGGCAAAACCATTCAGGACATAGGCATAGGCAAGAACTTCATGACCAAAACACCAAAAGCATTGGCAAAAAAAGCCAAAATAGACAAATTGGACCTAATCAAACTCCACAGCTTCAGCACAGCAAAAGAAACAGTCATTAGAGTGAATGGGCAACCAATAGAATGGGAAAAAAATTTTTGCAGTTTACCCGTCTGACAAAGGGCTGATATCCAGAATTTACAAAGAACTCAAACAGATTTACAAGAAAAAAGTAAACAAGCCCATTCAAAAAAATATGAACAGACACTTTACAAAAGAAGACATACATGAGGCCAACAAACATATGAAAAAATGCACATCATCACTGGTCATTAGAGAAATGCAAATCTAAACTCCATTGAGATACCATCTCATGCCAGTTAGAATGGTGATCATTAAAAAATCTGGAGACAACAGATGCTGGAGAGGATGTGGAGAAATAGGAACACTTTTACATTGTTGGTGGGAGTGTAAATTAGTCCAACCATTGTGGAAGACAGTGTGGTGATTCCTCAAGGACCTAGAAATAGAAATTCCATTTGACCCAGCAATCCCATTAATGGGTGTATATCTAAAGGATTATAAATCATTCTACTATAAGGACACATGCACACGAATGTTCATTGCAGCACAGTTTACAATAGCAAAGACCTGGAACCAATCCAAATGCCCATCGATGATAGACTGGACTGGGAAAATGTGGCACATATACACCATGGAATATTATGCAGCCATCAAAAACAATGAGTTCGTGTCCTTTGTAGGGACATGGATGAACCTGGAAACCATCATTCTCAGCAAACTGACACAAGATCAGAAAATCAAACACTACATGTTCTCACTCATAGGCGGGTGTTGAACAATCAGAACACATGGACACAGGGAGGGGAGCACTACACACTGGGGTCTGTCAGGGGGAAATAGGGGAGGGACAGTGCGGGGTGGTGGGGAGTTGGGGAGAGATAGCATGGGGAGAAATGCCAGATATATGTGATGGGGAGGAAGGCAGCAAATCACACTGCTACATGTGTACCTATGCAACAGTCTTGCATGTTCTTCACATGTACCCTAAAACCTAAAATGCAAAAAAAAAAAAAAAAAAAGAAACTTGGCAGTTAAAGCTCCAGCCAGGACCAGGCGGCAGGAGACGTAGAGATGACGGAGAAGGGACATTTAGTTTGAGACGGTGCTGAGATACGATCATGAAGGAAGAGGTGAAGGGAACTCCTGTAAGAGTGGCACTCTATTGTCGCCCTCTGGTCCCCAAAGAGATTAGCGAGGGCTGCCAGATGTGCCTTTACTTTGTGGCCGGGGAGCCTCAGGTGGTGGTTGGTACTGATAAGTCCTTCACCTACGACTTTGTGTTTGACCCCTCTACTGAACAGGAAGAACTCTTCAATAAGCAGTGGCACCTCTCATAAAAGGCGTATTTAAAGGATTTAATGCTATGGTCCTGGCTTATGGGCAGACTGGCTCTGGAAAAACCTATTCAATGGGAGGTGCATACACTACAGAGCAAGAGAATGATCCAACTGTTGGGGTTATTCCTAGAGTAATACAACTGCTTTTCAAAGAAATTGATAAAAAGAGTGACTTTGAATTTACTCTGAAAGTGTTTTACTTAGAGATTTACAATGAAGAAATTTTGGATTTTCGGTGCCCATCTCGTGAGAAAGCTCAAATAAATATACAGGAGGATCTTAAAAAAGGCGTAAAGATTGTGGGACTCACTGAGAAGACTGTTTTAGTTGCCTTGAATACTGTTTCCTGTTTGGAGGAGGGCAACAACCCTAGGAATGTGGCCTCCATAGCTATGAACTCCCAATCATCCGGATTCATGCCATCTTTACAATCTCGGTAGAGCAAAGAAAGAAAAGTGACAAGAATAGCAGCTTTCGCTCCAAGCTGCATCTTGTAGATGGATCAGAAAGACAGAAGAAAACCAAATCTGAAGGGGATCATCTAAAAGAAGGTATTAATATTAACTGAGGCCTCCTATGCTTGGGAAATGGAGAGCATCCTTGAGATGCTTGTTGGCAGCTGCTGCCTCCTCTGTTTTACGTCTGAGCACATCAGATTGTTTCTTGAAGTTTCTTTCAAGTTTGAGCAGCTCATATTGCCTCTTATGATCTCGTTCTTTTAATTGTATTACTTCCTTGTCTTTTTTCTCTTTCCACTATCTAAACTTCTCAGCATCTTCTTTCATTTCAACACATAAACTCTACCCACTGTTTTTTCATCGTCTGTCTCTCCTGGTTCAGTCTGGAGACAGTACACTCTGTGGATTCCTTTAGTTTCAGAAGTTTGGACTGCTCATTCAGTTTCTTCTTCAGATCAGCTATTTGGCCCTCCAGCTCTGGAGATGTTTGCAGTGGCGCTCACTCAACTTGGCTTGGTTGACATACTTCTTTGCTGTCTGAAGTTCAAGAACCAATTCTTCCTTTTCCTTTTGTAGATTGATGACTTCTAACTCTAGATTTTTTATATTGTCCTGGTATTGAAACAGAATGGGCTGCAGTTGGCTGTCATTCTGAGTCATCTTTCTAACTAGGGCCTCTTTCAGTGCAAGGGTGTTATTCAACTCAACCAGCTCCTTAGACATCTGAACTTGACAGAGAGCATGCTGAGTGGTAAAAGCATCAGAAGACCTGCTCGTCTCTACAATGATTTTCACTTGAGCTTCTTGTTCCACCGCAGTTTCAATGGCTGCAGCCATGCAAGCAACAGTTTCATCTGAGGCCACAGATAAGCAGAAACAGACTCAGAGCCATGGAATGGAAGGTATTGCAGCTCAAGTAAAGAAATGGCTTGGAAATGAAATTGAGGTTATGGTCAGTACTGAGGAAGCCAAATGCCATCTGAAAGACCTCCTTGAAGATAGAAATATCCTGGCTCAGGATGTGGCTCAACTCAAAGAAAAAAGAGAATCTGGGGAGACTCCACCTCCTAAACTCCAGAGGCGTACCTTCTCTTTTACTGAAGTGTGTGGTCAAGTTTTGGAGTCAGAAGATTCTGTTGCAAAACAGACCGAAAGCCTGGAGACTGAAATGGAACTCAGGAGTGCTCAGATTGCTGACCTACAGCAGAAGCTGCTTGATGCAGAAAGTGAAGACAGGCCAAAACATCGCTGGGAGAATATTGCCACCATTCTGGAAGCCAAGTGTGCACTGAAATATTTGATTGGAGAGCTGGTCTCCTCCAAAATACATGTCACCAAACTTGAAAACAGCCTGAGACACAGCAAGGCCAGCTGTGCTGACATGCAGAAGATGCTGTTTGAAAAACGAAATCATTTTGCTGAGAGATAGAGAGAGAGTTATAAGCTGAGCTGGTCAGAATGGAGCAACAGCACCAAGAGAAGGTCGTGTACCTTTTCAGCCAGCTGGAGCAAAGCCAAATAGCAGAGAAACAGTTAGAGGAATCAGTTGGTGAAAAGGAACAGCAGCTGTTGAGCCCACTGAAGTGTCAGGATGTAGAACTTGAGAAGACACAAGAAGTGTGTGAGCAAAATCAGCAGCTTCTCTGATAGAATGAAATCATCAAGCAGAAACGGACCCTCCTTCAGGTAGCCAGCAGACAGAAGCATCTTCCTAAGGATACCCTTCTATCTCCAGACTCTTCTTTTGAATATATCCCACCTAAGCCAAAACCTTCTCGTGTTAGAAAAGAAGTTTCTGGAGCAAAGCATGGACATCGAGGATCTAAAATATAGTTCAGATTCTGTGAATGAGCATGAGGACGGTGATGGTGATGGTGACGGTGACAGTGAGGAGGGGGATGATGAGGAATGGAAGCCAACAAAATTAGTTAAGGTGTCCAGGAAGAACATCCAAGGGTGTTCCTGCAAGGGCTGGTGTGGGAACAAGCAGTGTGGGTACAGGAAGTAAAAGTCTGACTGTGGTGTGGGCTGTTGTTGTGACCCCACAAAGTGTCGGAACTACCAGCAAGGCAAGGATAGCTTGGGCACTGTTGAATGGACCCAGGATTCTGAAGGGTCCTTCAAACTGGAGGATCCTACTGAGATGACCCCAGGATTGAGCTTCTTTAACCCCAGTCTGTGCCGCCCCCAACAGCAAGATCCTGAAAGGGATGCTCGACATAGAGCAGGTGCTGTCAAAGAAGACTGCTCCAGCTCCCTTCCCTTTTCATCTCCCAGAGTCAAAAGGTGTAGCAACAGAATACCAAGAAAATAAGCTCCAGGGAAAAAAAAGAAACGAGCTCTGGCCAGCAACACCAGCTTCTTCTCTGGCTGCTCCCCTGTGAAAGAAGAGGCCCACTGAAATTGGAGTCAGATCTCCACCCCCAGTCTGGCTTGGGAGTTGCTTTCAGGTTGCAACCAGAAGGAATTTTAATCGACTTCTCTGGATTTCAGGTTTCTTGCTGTTGAAAAAAGGAACAAAGTGTTACTAGGAGGAAGGTATCTGTTGGATGTTGGCCCTCAGCCTCCAGCCACAGACTACTGCACTCTTTCCTCCAGAGTGACTGAAGAGAGACCCAACTGACTTTCCTAATGACTCATCAGGAACTAGTCCTCACTATTTCAAGTTCTTTCTTATCTGTGAGCAGTTCGTGCTATCTCCTGATGGGGATGAGGCCAAGGCTTTCTTTTACTTTTTTCTTTTTTTTGAGACAGAGTCTCACTCTGTCACCAGGCTGGAGTGCAGTGGCACTATCTCGGCTCACTGCAACGTCTGCTCCCAGGTTCAAGCAATTCTCTTGCCTCAGCCTCCTGAGTTGCTGGGATTACAGGTATGCACCACGACACCCAGCTAATTTCTATATTTTTAGTAGGGACAGGGTTTCACCATGTTGGCCAGGATGATCTCAATCTCTTGACCTCATGATCTGCCCACCTTGGCCTCCCAAAGTGTTGGGATTACAGGCATGAACCACCACACCTGGTGAGGCCAAGTCTTTCTTGACTTTTGGTTGTCTCTGCTTAATAGAGGAGCCTGGTTTAAGATGGAGTCCTGGCTTAGATCTTTCTCTCCACCTCAGGAATGGGGTTGTGATCCTTCCTGTCCTGACCCTCTCTGAATTGTAAGTGATTCAATAGTACTCTCAATTGTCTGCCATGTTTTTGAAGTAAATGAAAATTTTTTAAATGTTAAGTAAGGAAATAAACCTTAGCCCACCTACTGCTAAAAAAATTTCTTGTAGACTATCATGCCATCTGTGAATAAAGATAAATTTTTGTTGTTGTTGTTTTGTTTTTGAGATAGAGTCTCACTGTTGCACAGGCTGGAGTGCAGGGATGTGATCTCGGCTCACTGCAACCTCTGCCTCTGCGGTTCAAGTGACTCTTGTGCCTCAGCCTTCTGAGTAGCTGGGATTACAGGCTGATGCCACCATGCTTGGCTAATTTTTAGTATCTTTAGTAGAGATGAGATCTCACCATGTTGGCCAGGCTAGTCTTGAACTCCTGACCTCAAGTGATCTGCTTGCTTCAGCCTCCCAAGGTGCTGGGATTATAGGTGTGAGCCACTGTGCCTGGCTGTGAACAAAGACAGTTTTATTTCTTCCTTCCCAATATGTATACTTATTTACTTTTCTTGTCTTATGATGTGAGCTAGTATTTTTAGCACAATGTTGAAAAGAAGTAGAAAGAGAGGACCTCCTTGACTTGTTCTGTATCTTAGTGAGCAAGCTTCCAATTTCTCCCCATTAAGTATGATGTTAGATGTAGTTTTTTTGTGGATATTCTTTATCAAGATAAGGAAGCTCAACTTTGTTTCTAGTTTACTGAGAGTTTTTATCATAAATAGGTATTAAAGTCAAATACTTTTTCTGAATCTACTGATATGATCGTGTAATTTTTATTTTTTAGCCTGCCGAGGTGATAGATTACATTGATTTTTGAACATTGAAGCAGACTTGCATTTCTGGGATAAATTCTACTGGGTTATGGTATATAATTATTCGTTTTCTTTCCTTATACTGTCTTTGGTTTTAATATTAGAATCACATCATGTTTTTGAGATTCATTCATGCTATTGTGTATATTAGTAGTGTTACAGGGTCTCTGTGGTGTTGATTTTTCTGGCCAGAAACCTCTGTGGCCACAGCACCTTTGCCTGAGTTCTTGTCCTGTGTCCTGGAACAGTGAGGTACACAGGCAAGTGAAGGGTGACGAAGAGTTTTATTTAGTGTTAGAACAGCTCAAGGAGTGGGTAGCTCCTATCTGTAGGCAGGTTGTCTCATCGAGTGTTCAGTTCTCAGCAGAGAGGAGGCCCTGGAGAGGGTGACTCCTCTCTGCAGGCAAGTCATTCAGATGTCTCTGAAGCTCTCATCCAAAAGGGTGGCTCCTCTCTGCTGGCAGGTTGTCTCTGCAGCTCTCAGTGGAGAAAGTACTACTTCTCTCTGCAGCTGGTCATCCAGTCATCTCCCATTATCTCCAGCTATCAGCAGAAAGAGTACTCTGTTCTGCCTCTGGTTGTTCCCTCCCTGTCTCTCTGCCTTCTCTCTCCCCTGGCTGTCCTCTGACCTACTCTGGCTGAGTGCTTAGGACTTTTATGGATCTCAGAGGGGAGGAAGTATGTGCTGATTGGTCCATGAGTGGCATGGGCAGGCTGGAAGAGGCATTATGAGTTCCCACTCGTCTGTAGGACTGGCAGCTCAGTCTCCAGCCTTCAAGCCCTCCCTGGCCTGAAGAAGGGGTCTTACCCCAGTAAGACCTTGAGATTCATTCATGCTATTGTATGAATGAAGTAAGGCCCCTGCACCCTTCTGCCAATCAATCACTCTGCCTCCTGCTGTCGTTCATGGCCCTGGGGCTTGGCCTCAACTTCTGCTCTGAGATCAGAGCAGGCATCAAGCAAAGAGAAGCCAGGCAGTGGGAGCAGACACCTCTGAGCCTGCAGGTATGGGGAGTGGGAGTGTTGGTGAGGGTGGGACGTGGCGTGGACTTCCTGGGGCCTCCGAGGGTGCAGGCTGCAGAGATGCCTGGGTCCTGCACCTGGGAGGGAGGCCAGAGCTGCTCCTGGGAGCTCCTGCCCCACTAACTCAAAAGGGGCAGGGATCCCGCTTGTCCCGAGCTACTGCCTACTTCCTGGAGTGGGAAGCCCAGGTTTGCAGCTGTGGGTGTGGCAGCTGCAGCTGCACCCACGAGGGCAGATCCTGCCTGTTCCTGGCTTCCCCAAGAGCACAGGGAGGCTCAGATCCCCAGCTGCAGTTTGGGTGGCTGTAGCCCCAGGAGGGTGGGCTCCTGCCTGCTTTGTAGAGCAGGAGGCCTGGGTCTGCAGCTGCAGTGTGGGTGGCTGTAGCCCCAGGAGGGTGGGCTCCTGCCTGCTTTGTAGAGCAGGAGGCCTGGGTCTGCAGCTGCAGTTTGGGTGGCTGCAGCTGCACGGAGAGCTCCCATCTCAACTCAGAAGGCTCAGGGCTCCCACAGGCTCCATGGAGTGTGCAGCTCCAGCCCCGCTTCCCTGCTGCAGCCGGCATGATGGCAGCAGCCACTACTATCAGTAGTTGGTTAATTTATATGGCTAAGTAGTATTCAATATTATGAATATATAACAATTTGATTATCATTTTCCTATTGGTGAGTATTTGGATTATTTCCCTTTTATGCTATTATGAATAGGCTGTAGTAAATATTCCCTTATGTGTCATTTTGTGGATATATGTTTTCATTTTTCATGGATTAATATTCAGGAATTGAAATGTTGAGTCATGAGTGTATGTATGTTTAACCTGAGGAGAAACTGACAAAACACTTCTTCAGCGTACCTATACCATTTTATAGTCCCACCAGCAATGTAAGAGAGTTCTGGTTTTTCCACATACTAGTGAACACTTGGTATTATTAGTTTTTGTAATTTTGACATTCTTATATATGTAAAATGGTATCTCATGGTTTTAATTTGCATTTCTCTTGTGACTAGTTATATTGAACATAATTTCATATGCTTATTGGCCACTTGGAAAATTTATTTCATAAGATATCTGTTTAAATCTTTTGCCCATTTAAAACCAGTTTAAATGACCTGTTACTTGGAAATAAAAGAGTTGTGATCAAGACAATATCTATATGTGCCGATCATCTAAAGTAACTGACACTGGTGTTGAGTATAGATAAATATGGTGTTTATCAAAATATAGAAAGTGACTCTAGCAGAGGGAGCAGTGTGGGCAAAGCTACAGAAGTAAGGAACAGTATACTTTGTTCAATGAATGAACCATAAGTAGTGGAGTGTGGCTGAGAATGGGATGAGGGCAACAGGGAGTTTTAAAGCATAGTGAGACATGGGGCTGGAGAGACAGGCATTGTTGGCCTTATATATCATGCTAAGGAATTTGGACTCTTCTAAAGTTGATATGGAATGACTTGAGTTTTACTCAGTACAGGGGTATGATTAGATACATGTTAAAAATTTGCAGAAAAAAATATACCTACTTTATATATACCAGTGGTTTGAGTCATGGAAGACCCTTGAAAAGATATCCTTTCAGGAGCCTGAGACATTTGTCACTGGCATGGGATAACAGGTTTAAAAGACTATGGGCTGGGTATGGTGGTTCATGCCTATGATCCCAGTACTTTGGGAGGCCAAGGCAGGTGGATCACAGGGCCAAGAGATCGAGACCATCCTGGCCAACATGGTGAAACCTCATCCCTATTAAGAATACAAAAATTCTAGGCATGGTGGCACACATCTGTAGTCCCAGCTACTTGGGAGGCTGAGGCAGGAGAATTGCTTGAACCCAGGAGGTGGAGGTTGCAGTGAGCTAATATTGCACCACTGCACTCCAGCTTGGCAACAGAGCAACACCCCTTCTCAAAAAAAGAAAAAAGAAAGAAAAAAAAAGACTGTGACTACTGTTGTCTAGCAAGGCATGCTAAGGTCTTGGTGCTCCTCAAAAAAGGTAGTTTGTATTTTTGCAATCGAGGCAGTTTACAGAATTAAAAATTTATTGTTTAAAACCTCAGCATTTAGGAATTATGCTTATTTGCTTTTACGTCTTCATAGCATATAAAAAACATGTCTTTCAGTTTTGATGGGGGACACTATCATAGGTTCTGAGTTGCTTTCATGAGGAAAACTTCCAGAGGAAAACAGCTGCATTACCTGCATATGACAAGCCAGCTCAGGGATTGAGGACAGTCTAGAAGGTTAAAGAATTCCACCTTCAGCAGAAAGTAGGAGTAATGCTAGAAATATATCAGTTAGGGTTCTCGATGCAAATAACAGAATCCCCTTTTTCTGGTTTATTCAAAGAAGAAATTCATTAAAGGATATAAGAGGCTCACAGAATCTCAGAGAAGGCCAGAGATGAAGCCTGA